AAAAATAATATTTAATATAAAATAAAAATGAACTAACTAATTAATTTTAAAATGAAAATTAATTAAATTATTAATAGAAATTTTAATAATTTTTTGTTAAATCATTTAAATAGTAAAAATTTTATTCATTTTCATTAAATTTTAAAAGCCGCCAGAAAAATGAAAAAGCCGCCGGAAAATTCCGCGGGATAATTTTGCGGGAAATTAGCCGTCGCAAAATTTTGCGGGGAAATTAGCCGCCGGTAATCCATCGGAAAGCCGCCGGAAAATTTTGTAGGAAATAAGCCGTCAAGAACCGCCGGAAATCTGCCAGAAAGCCGCCGGAAAACTGACCGCCGGAAAATTCCGCCGGTAATAAGTGATTTTCCTGTAGTGTCCGACCTCCGTCGCCCTCCGACTATGGTCTCCCGACCAAACGAACATGTCAATAGTGATTCTTTATATCATGTAATGTACTCTATAAAATGTACATCAAGCTAAGGCCTTCTCCCAAGGAAGGGCTTCATTTGTAATCGACTGCAATTCTAGTGGATTTATTTAAACTGGGCTAGGCCCCGTGGTTTTTCCCCCTTTTTCAGGGGTTTTCACGTAAAAATCTTGGTGTCTCAAGAATGCTAGACCCTCTCTCCTTATCTGATTGCGTGCTGGATTTTCGTACAACGCTAAGACGTTAAATATGATATTTCTCTACCGCCGCGAATACTCTTGGACGCAACAATTTTATATATATTATTGTCTAATGCATGTCATTGCCATAAAGTATGACACTTATTATCATCAATAAGATTAACCTCCGCTATGATCACTAAGGGCTAATTGATTGGATTACATAAGGGTGTAAAATTTTTTAAATACAGGGATGTTAAAAATTTTGGTTTTTGATTGAATGAAAAATAAAAGCAAAGTAAAATTAAGTAAATATAATATAAATCATTATAGTTCTTTTTTGAGGTATATTAAAGTCATCTTGCTCGACCGCTACAAATTGCCATTAAGCACCCCCACCGGCCACCTCCACCCGCATTAGCATTAACACTGATATGATAGATCCTCTCATTTTTTTCGCCGTGAATACAATGCAAACAATAACAAACATTCATCAATCATATATATCATCAATACATAAAATTCTTTGAATTAGGGATGTCAATCTTAAAGTCTAAAGATTTTCGCTTGAGTAGACCTAAAATTAAATATATAGAGTGTAATTTAGTAGTAATAGACCTAACGAGGGGATTGTGACTTTGGGTGATCGAGTCATTAATCAGAGTATACATTTTAAATATCTTGGATTTATTGTTAAGAGTGATGATGAAATAGATGGGGATATTATCAACATATAATTCAAATTGGATGATTGGAGTGGATGAATGCATCTGGCTTGTTTTGTAATAGAAAAGTCCCCCTCAAATTTAAGAGAAATTCTATAAGATAGTGATGAGACTTGCAATGCTTTATAATGCTGAATTTTGGCCATTAAAAGAGAAGCATAATACTAAATGTTACAGAGATGAGGATGCTTAAGTGGATGAGTGGCTTTACCCTTAGAGATAGGAAATGAAATGAGCATATACGTGAAAAGGATGGAGTAACTCACCTGGAAGATAAGATTAGAGAGAGTCGTCTTAGATGGTTTGGTCACAAAAATGATGGCCTTTCGATGACCCGATTATGAAAGTAGATATATTAAATTTGACTTATGTTAAGAAAGATAGTGGTAGACATAAAAAGTCTTGATTATAAAATATTAAAAGTGATATGTTTTATTATATTTAAATGAGAATTTGACTTTTAACAGGATATAATGGAGGAAAAAAATATTTATGTAACCGACCCTGCGTGGTGGGACAAAGGCTTGATGTTGTTGATGTTGTATAAATGCATAAAATTCTATAAAATTTTAAAATTTTACTTAAAAAATATAGCATTGTCTATGTTTTTCTCAATTTCTTTTATGTATTCTCTGTTGTTATAATGGAAGATAAAGTAACGGTTCCATTTTCTAGAAGAAATTGGCACTTTTTCTTTATGACAATTGAAAAAGTTTATTTATGTCAATGATAAAATAAAAGTGATAAAAAATCGTCAAACAATTCGAATATAGCACCATGAAAATAACAAAACAAAAGTAAAAAAAAAAAAATTATACGGTTTTCGCTAGAGGAAGGGCTTGAACCTTCGACCTTATGGTTAACAGCCATACGCTCTAACCAACTGAGCTACTCCAGCTTTTTATTTCTATTTGTTCTTCATAAAATAATAATTAATAAACAATTCTGTGACGGCTAAAAAATAATTTAAATGATTAAATAACACTTTCATGGTTTAAATAGGCCAGCCAATCCAATCGGTTCAATTGAGAACCTGTCCTCTGATGTGGGTCGAACCGATGAACTCTTTTGATTTTTTTATGAACCGGTTGGTTCAAATATAGATTAATTTCAAATCTTTGTGATTTAATCAAATGATTATGATAAAAGATTTAGATATTCTAGCAAGTTAAATAATTTAAAAATAACAAAAACATGATATCCTAAAATTATAGTTTAGAATCCATTTCAAAATACTTGTTGCGACCTGGAATATTTGTTTAGTAGGCAGAATCATAGTTAGCGGGCGACGGAGGTTGGAAAGACCGTAGTCTGGTGATGGTGGTCAGAAGGACGTTTGGGGAGCGATATCAGTGTTAGTAAACCGTTGGCTCAGTAAATAAAGTCATCACTCTTTGCCCATCGGCACAGTAGTAATATCCTTGTAACTTTTAATCAGTGTATCACGTGAATTAATAGAGTATAACATCAAACCACATAATTTAAAGGAAAGCCCATCGGCCCACCATCCTGTACAGGTCAAACAGTCTTTACTTGTAATTTGATTTGATATTTTATATGATTTATGTACTGATTGATATTATTGCGATGATTGTTTTATAGATTTAACACTCGTACTGATTTATAACTTTACTAGCTTCCGTACCGTAGTATTTTATTATTTTTATATTTTACTACTACTATATTTGAGTTTTATTGTTGCATTGATTCAATGGTCATATGGATGCAACTGTCATGATTTGACTGTTGACATACATATTGCTTCTTTATCATGCTTTGAATTCAATTGTAAGTTTTGATGTTGCATTGATTCAATGATCATATGGACGCAACTGTCATGATTTGACTGTTGACATGCATATTACTTCTTTATCATGCTTTGAATTCAATTGTAAGAATTGATAAATTGTTGGGCTTTTTAAGCTCATTATATATGACTAAATTCTTTCAGGTCAGGGCATGAGAGCAGAAGTGTGAGACTAGTCATGATTCTTCAGATTCTATTTCTTTTTGTTATAGTCATGAGTAATGTATATAATTTTTGAGAATAAATACAGATGTGCACATTGATGTTTTAAATTATAGAATCTATTTTACTATTTATTACTGATAAATGATATTAGATAGTTCTAATTTTTTTATTAAAAGATCAAAAGAATAATTCTTTCAATTTATATTATAGGGCATCATAGGAAGGATCATAGTCTGTGGAAGATAATGGTCAGAAAGATTGTTGTCTGGCAAAGAGAGTCGAAATGATCGTAGTCAATAGGAGACATGGATCATAAATATTATTGTCTGGCGATGAAAGTCGGAAGAACCGTAGTAGGCGACGGAGGTCGGAAGGATTGTAGTTGGCATGAGATATGGATCAAAAAGACTGTTATCTGATGATGGAGGTCGGAAGGACCGTAGTAGGTGATGGAGGTCGGAAGGATCGTAGTCGGCAGGAAATAGGGGTCAAAAAGACCATAGTCATAAGGCGGTGGTTTAACAAAAGTCTAGGCGTTATTTGGTGGTGTGGCGGAACTCTGACTTCATTTGGTGGCCCGACGAAAGTTTGAGACTCAGTCGGTGGTCCGGCGGTGGTTTGGTAGAACTCCGGTATCAGGCGGTGGTCCGACAAAACTCCGACATTGGGCGGTGGTCCTGACGGAAGTCCGACGTCAGGCGATGGTCGACAGAACTCTGACGTCAGGTGGTGGTCTGGCAGAACTTCGACGTCGGGCGACAACATAACTCTGGCATCGGGCGGTGGGCCGTCATAACTCCGGCATCGGGTGGTGGTCCTGACGGAAGTCCAAACATCAAGGAAGTGGTCCGGTGGAACTCCTCTGTCTGATGGCGGTTTGGTTGAACCCCAATGTCGGGAGGTGGTCTGACGGAACTCTGGCATTGCGTTTTTGTCCGGCGGAAGTCCAGAGTTAGGCGGTGGTCATGACGGAAGCCCGACGTCAGGCTGTGGTCCGGCGAAAGTCTGACGTCAAGAGGTTGTCCTGACGAAAGTTCGGCATCAGGCGATGGTCTGGCAGAAGTTCGATGTCAGGCAGTGGTCCTGACGGAAGTTCGACGTCAGACGGTGGTCCGACGGAATTTTGAGACGCTCAGTTTTACTATTAGTTTACTGACATCAGAGTTCATATGGCCCAAATTTTAATTTCGGAAGTTTCCAACTCTATTTTGCCTCGATATTCATCCCTGATCAAGATGATTTTTTGCTGATGTATCAATATTCAATAGTGAAATGTCTTGATTTAAAATATTACATATTGAATTAAAAAATATATTATTATTATTATTATTATTATTATGTTATATTATTATTATGTTATTTAAATTACATTAAAATAAATTTAATATTTATTATATCATTATATTCAATTTCTGATTCATATTAATTAAATATTGAAATTTTGAATCTCTTGATTCAATATTCAACCCTGAATTTTCAATAAATTAATTGAGTTATAAGAATATATGGATCCATTATTACGGATTTTAAGAATAATATTTTTAAAGAGGCTTTTTATTAAAAATATAAATAATTTATAGCTCATCAAATTTACGTCAAATTCTATATATCTTGTTGATATAATTAAAACATCATTTAAAAATGAGAGCTTATATTTTCAAAATTTTTAATGATTTGTAAGGTTCTGGAAACCCAAAGCTGAGACTAGACTTAGAAGAAGTTTAAGATTCAATGTATTAGAGATTGATCTATGTTGCATCCGAGGAGATTTGCGCCGGGCGACGTAAGATTTAATATTAAAGGTTATCTCTTGCATAATGTACGAAATCGGCACGCAATCAGATATAGATGAGGAGAGTGTCTAGGCATTTATGAAGACACCCAAGTATTTTACTGGGAAAACCACGGGGCAGGTCCAATTTTGAACGAATCCACTAGTAATTTGCAGTTGATTAAAATGGCCCCTTCCTGAGAGAAGCCTTAGCTTATGTACATCTATGAGAGTACTGATTACATGAATGTAAATACAATAGTGGTAGCTTTTGACATATCCATTTGGTGATAGACTCGTAGTCGGCAGGGCGATCGAAAGTCAGGTAGGTACCTGTCAGCTGGCGACGGAGGTCGAAGTATGTAGTCGGCGGGCGACGTAATCAGGAGGACCATAGTCGTACGTGTGAACGAGATCGGAAAGACTTAGTCTACGGGCGACATAATTCAAGCAGGCCGTAGTTGACGTGGCGACGGATGTCGGAAAGTACTGTAGTCGAAACGCAGGCACGTTAAGTCAGGCCAGACCATATCCGGCTAGCGAAAGGAGTGATAGAATGACTGTAGTTTGTAACGACAAGATCAGAGGAAGCAACGATTCAAGAAAGGTCCAACAATGGAAAGAAATCCATCTTCGCGAGTAGATATCCAAGGAAGTCCAATAACGGTGGAGAGTCCGCAATGCGAGTAGAAACTTGCGAAGAGTGAAAGTTCGCTGTCGTGGAGAAATCTGATGTCTGCTTTTGTGGCAGACGAGAGAACTCCAGCCTTACACTTGGGCGGAGTTAATTTTCAGCGTCAGGAGGACTTTGTCTTAATTGAGAAGCAAACTTTCCACATTCCGTGGAAGTTGGAGCATTCCTGCTATTCCGCCGAATATCACGCAAGAATGCCCAACATTTCGGGCGGCAGGAAGAGCTTCGGGCGAGTGGTCGAGAAGAGCTTCTTCTTCTCCTCCTTCTTCTCTTCTTCTTCTCTCTTTTCCTTGAGTACCTTGTGTAGAATGAGGATCTATTTATAGTTTTTCTGGAGTGGCATAGCCCTGTAAATATGCGTTGAGATCAAGGGATTGGAGTGTTTGAGTGTTGGTTTCATGAACGGGCGATATCGAATTCTGTTTCATGTAGCCGTTGGCTCGTTGGGCTATTTAAGTGGCTTAAGGATGTCAGGATATTCTGCATATTTGCTTCGTTGGATTCGTTCGTCGAGTTGTCCGTCATCGAGTATAAACTCGTTCCAAGATCGTGAGACGTTTAGTACTCAAATTGTGGTTTGAACTTTCCAACAGCGCTTGAGCCCTGTTTCTGGATCTCATTTGGAGTCGGATTGGGTCGAATTTAGTGTCGCTGGATTCTGTATGGATTCGAGGACGCCTCAGTTGTACTATAAGCTCGCTGAAATCGGATTCATATGCTGTTATTTAATTGAAGTTTCGAACTGATTTTACCTCGAAGATTCGTGCCCACCGAAGATAATCTTCTTGATGAGTGTCCAATCAGATGATGTAATAACTAATTAAAATTATTAATATGAGTATGTGTAATTATTATCATAAAATTAATAAGTATTAAAGTAATATAATTGTGAAGTACTAAAAAATAATAAATAATATATTTTAGGAATTTTAATTTACAATATTTTTAATGATAATTTTAATTTATTTTAATATAATTTTAGTTCATATTGTAATTTTTATTAAATTTATATAAAATAATTACTAATTTTGTCATATATTTTATATAATTTACTAAATTGTTTTATATAAAAATTACATCTTATAATTCATATCAGTATCATTTAAAATTAAAAAATCGATAAAAATATTTATTTTTTTAGTGATATATATATATATATATTATATGTATTATAATATGATACTATAGTATATTAGTTATTAAGTAAAAAAAAAATATTTTTAATTATTAAAAATAATTAAAATTATATAGTGTATGTGTTATGAACTTGAGAACTTCTATTTAATCATTTAATCCCATTTCACTTTGGCAATTTGTCTTAGTATTTTTTTATATAGTTTTTTTGTTTGCATGAGTAAAAAACTAAAAATGTGACATAGGATTTATTCGTCAAATGAATATTATAAAAATTCAAAGCTCAATTTAAATTTAAATTAATTTGTCAATTTTTGTATTAAATTAATTAATTTAATTATGTAAAAGAGATAATAATTAACGGGCAGTTCTTAAAAGAAGTTCGAACCTGTTTTTTCTGGTTCAACGCAAAACCGATTTTGAAAATAGTTTAGACCGACTAGCCAATCAGTTCTAATTCGGTTTTCAAAATAAAGGTAGTAATTCGTGAACAAATCTCTACAAAAGATAAAAACTTAATTAAATACAATGATCAATTGATCATATAGAATCCCATAGTAAAAAGACATTTCTTTCCAAAATTTTCTATAAAGATTCCTTGTAGAATCTCTGTCATACACGCAAATACCAACCTGCCTCAACTCCTCAACTAGCTAGAGAACTCTTCCAAAAGCTTATACCTCCTCGCCTTTCCTCTAAACACCTGCCGTCCCCTCCCAGAACCCGGCGACAGCTCCTCCCCGCTGCCCCGGTCGCCGGAATCCGACGGTGGCTGCAGCCGCCTGTCACCCAATCTCTGCTTCTTCACCGGTTTATTCAGAAGCTGTGGCGAGAACGCCCCACGAGCGAGCTTCAATCCCGAGCTTGTGCCACCTACCGGAGAAGAGGAAGCTGAAATAATTCGATCAACCGTCGTCTGTTCTACCAAAAGTAACCTGCTTCCTGCTTCCTCCCTCAGGCACCAGTTACAGGCTCGATAGACCTCTGCTCTCGGGTATAGATCGCTGCAATATCTAATATATCAATCAAATATTCATCAATCAGGTGGGGATTAAGATGGAGGAGTTGAAGACCAAGAAAAAATTGAATTGGATCATAGCCTTCATAGGGATTGAAGCAAATTTGAGAGCTTGAATTAGACTATGTTAATTGTTATCAGTTTATTTTATTTTTTTTCAAAAACAGAAGAAATTTATAATCTTTACAACATCCTTTCATCTTTCTTACCACATACTTGTGTTGGGAGCGAAAGGCGCAGAGTTTGCACCGAAAGAGCTCCCGTGATAGCCCCCGATCTCCGCACATGCAACAAACCACCGACGGCGACGACGGAGACGACGGGGATTGTAGTGCGCCACCACCTTTGCTACCCATTCTCTCTTCTTTCCCCTCTATACTGTTATAAGAAAGATGAGCAGAGAGAGCTATATAAGGGAAAGAGGAAGAAGAGATCGATTCAAGAGGGAAGAGCAGGAAAGATAAAGGGAAATGCCACAAACTTTGCTTTCCTGTATCTCAGGCTGTTTCGACTTTAATATGTCGCCCACAAACGTGGAAAGAAAACGATGGGGGAGGTGGAAGATGAGCTTCATTCGATCAGTATGTGGCAGCCATTGTAGTTCGATTTTGTTGAGTAGTGGTTGAGAAACAAGTCAACAAATACTGCAGCTTTTCTTGCCTTTATACTTTATAAGTTTATTTATGGAGATATTATTCTATGTAGGTATCGGATTGTTCGGAAGTGAATCAGTGCGTATCACATCACTCAGTACATAGCTGCGATATCCAACAAAGGGATGACGTGGTGTGCTCTGATTTGCCTTTGTACGACGCCCGCACAAAATAATTTTTCTTATTTATAGTCTTTGTGGCAGAAAAAAATTTAAGGAATTCATTATATAAACTTTTGTAATTAGATATTAGTTTTGCAAATAATGTGAATAATTTGTTCTTAATTTATATTTTTAATGTTAATTCAAAACCCATCTACCTAACGCAGATAGGAGAAAAGGGACAATAATAAACCAACCAAAATGTCTAATTAATTAATGCTTGGCAAATGACATCTTCCTAACAACCATTCATTCATCTTACAATTAATTACTTGTTCAGTTTTGTCAATTATCTTAGATTGTTTTCGTTCCCTTATATTTTTTAACAATATAGAAGTGTAAGTGAGCTGAATATGAGATTGTTTTATCTGGTTAATAGCTTGTCAGCCGAACTTATTAGCAATTAGGTGAAAGTTCGTGCTTGAATTCGTGGCGCACTAGCTGAAAAAAAAGTTTTGAGAATTCTAAGAGGTCAGGTTCGGGCGCTCGATATGGCTCGAAAGGAGAAAAGATAAAATGGTTAAATTTGAGCTGATCATAACTTGACTTATGAGTTTATGAGGCGTAAAGTCTGATACCTAATCTATTGCAATCAGTCCTTGTTTTTCTTTATGACTTGCTAGTTGCTACTAAAGGCTTCCAATTGTCATCGCTGTCTAACTATCCATGGCTCAGAATTATTCGCCACCTAACATTTATAAAGTGCATGTATTTCAAATACATCTAAATAAAAAAACCATTACATTAATTTATATTCAACCAAACAACTTGCGTATTTCTTAAATATATGCATTTATTTTATACTTTTAAAACTATAATAATTCCAAATTCCTCTACAAACCCTTCAAAATCTTTCGATTTGAATATTGTCTTCCAGTCCGGTCAAGATAACTTTAATGACAAGAGAATAAAATGATCTATATATATATTTCAATTCGTTGAATGTTGACTTTTGTGATAAGAGAATAATCTCATGCAATTATGATAAACAAGGACAAATATGATTTTTTAACCAAAATTAATTTACACCAAATAAGTCATAATGATAAACTTATAAATATATACGTACAACTATTGAACAATTTTTACTTGATAACTTATCAGAATAGCATTTCTCGGATAGGTATAAAGGGGTTTTACTTTGAGATGTGTGCAAATGAATATCAGACGGTTATAATTTGCTTTTCTATACACAATTGATGATTAGGATCCTTAGCCGGTTGGTTGGAACCAGATTCGTTATCTCAACAACTCTATTGAAAAAACAACCTTCTAATCTTCTGGAAATCAATGGGTTGGGGTATTTTTATAATTTTATATATTGTATTATAAAAATAGTTCTGTAATTTAATAATTGCAGTGAATGGGCCGGGAATAAATTCTGCTGCACATTTGCTCACGTATCCATTTGACTAGGTGCTGTAATGAATGTATCAGGTTTAAGCAATGGACTATTCTGTCCTTACGATAGTACAAGTAGTATCATCATTCTTATTTTTTTTTATTTAAATTTTAATCCACAACATAAAAAAGTAATTTACTTACATGGTACTATAAATTTATATATGTAAGTATCTAAAATTCAAAACTCATAAAATACAAATCCCACATCTAAGATTTACCTATTCATCATTTCTATCACTCTGTTCCATCTCCATGAGGTGCGCGTGAGTGCTCCCATGTACTCTTAGTTACGCCTCCTTGGTTTGTTGAGTGTTTATCTTTTGTTGCTTCTTCGTCTTATGATGTGTGAGAACACTTCTCATGCCCTAAACCTCATCTTAATACTGCTGCTCTTTCATCTTCATCATTCTGCTGCTCCCGTGACTCCGTGAGGTATGATCCATGTCCTAAATGTTTTTCTTTGCTTCTTGTCATGAGTTATTTATACAAGCTTTTTTGTGTTGGTTGTCCATCTTATTTTTTTGCGGATTTTGAGTAAGTTGGAGTAAGCTTAAATGTATATTATGATGAAGATAGCGAATGACTTTGTATTTCACTTAAATTTGGGGGATATTCGAGAGCACTTAAAGGTGATCAGAGAAGAAGATATGAATGTGGGAAACAAGAAACGATGAAACTTCAGAATGATTTGATTAACTATCCATGGATTATTGGCCATGACTTCAAGTTACACTATCATTTGACGCAAGTAATTACTCGTAAAACTGTTGAATATCTTGTACTCATGCTTTCAAACAGAACAATATCTTAAATATATGCAACCTAAATTTCAACTTTGCAGCATAACATTCCAAATGAAAACCCAAAGAATAATGGCATAAGTCATCAACACAGTGATTTCTGTCACTGATAAAGAGCCCGAACATAGCAAAACTCAGCAACCAATGCTCACATTCATGAAAACGCAACCAGTACAACAAATAATAAACTAGTTTTTTCGTGAATTGCACACATTAACTAACTGCTTTCTCCATAAAGTACACAGTAAATCATCACAATATATGAAAAAATTGTCAGAACATCAACTGAATGCTTTCTTACTTAATTGCACACAGTAACTCATCACAATGTATGGCAAAATTGTTAGAACAAACTGACTGCTTTCTTATTAAATTGCACACAATAACTCATCCAACCAAGTCTGCCCTTCTCACAACCAACCAAATAGCCTAGAATAACAAAACCATATTGCATATGATTCACAGAAAAATAATAGAAACGAAGAAATTTTCAAAGAGTTTTAATTCACCGAATCCAATTATCCCAGATCCAAGTATAAAAAAAAATGATGAATGCTTCTTGATACATCGGACTCAGAATAAAAAAAGAAAGGATCATCTGCAGAGATGAAGAGAGACTAGGGAACCAGCAACAGCACGCATGGGTTGCCTCTCTTATGGTTGATCGCATTGTCGTCCAAAGATCCCACCTCATCGTTTATCTTTAGCATATATGAGAAAAGTATCACTACATGAAAACTAGTCATTACTAGTGTTAAAAATTTCCGGCGGATTTTAAAAATTTCCGACGAATAACAGGCGTAATTTTTTTCAACGGTAAATCAAGCGTCAGTAAAATTTGTTGCCGAAAAACATCCACCGGAAAAATTTTCTGGCGGATTTTTTCCCACCAAAAAAAGCAGTATGAATAGTAAAAAACTGACAGTGGAAGCTACTCGGCCAGCTATCCGCCTGCCCGCCTATTGCTTGCCCGTCAGCTTGCCAGAGCGAGCTGCCCTCTGCCCGCCTGTGAGCTGTCTGCATGGTTTCCGCACTACCAGCCCTCTTGACTGGGTGCTGCCCGCCTGCCCGCACAATAACTCCTGTGGGGTTCGAAGCCGGAACATGCAACCACTTTGTTGTGGAGGAAAATATATTAAAAACTTACTCTTTTATATTTAAATAATTAAAATCAGTATTAAAACCCGTCGGAAAACCATCGGAAATCCTCCGATAATGCACGATTTTCCTGTAGTGTATGTGAGGTGGGTCATGGTTGCAACATAGATCATCCAGGTAGGGAGCCGTCCAACATAAACCAAGCCGCACATATAATTGGCCCTATTTTCCTCATTGTTTGGAATTCACAACATAATACTGAGCTTCAAATAATCCAAATCAAAACGTGAAAGACAACTGATGAACCAACAATAAGAAGAAGCAATCCACTTCAACCCCACTATAATTCTCACCAAAAATATCAAGACAAAAGAAAGATAAATACGCAATATAATAAACTCTTCCAACTGTATCTCAAGCCAAAAAAATTGCAGTTCAACAACGAGCAAATGAGAGAATATAGAATTATAAACTTTTGAAGCATTTTATACCACCAAATGCAACTGAATCATACCAACTTCTCCTTTATAACCAACAAGCACAAACACTTAGGGCAGGATGCATTCTGATCAGAGATGGGAGGGTGAAGTTCTCACTGGACGAAGAATGACAAAAAAGCAGGAAAAAATTTTAGGGCATGAATCATACCAATTGAGCTTTTGAAACTCACAAGAGCAGCAAAACCACAAAGGAGTAGTAGCAATAGAAAAAAGCATTAAGGCATGATAAATAAGGTCAGACGGGCATTCTCATGCATCAAAAGACAAAGAACAAGCAGAAAATCGTCAAGCAAGAGGCAAAGAAGGAGGCGTAGTTGAGAGCTCTCATGCACGCTTAACAGAAACGAAACAGAGATGCAGAAATGAGGGAATATGTAAATTTTTGATGTGGGGCGTGTATTGTAGGAGTTTGGGGTGTTAGCTATGTAAATATGCAAGTTTAGAATGCTATGCAGGTAAATCCCTCAATAAAAGATACTTATTTCTTTAATATTATGAAATTTTAAAATAAAATATATTAAATCATGTCAAAATCAAATGATACAATATTAGAATGAACTTGAAAATAATGAAATTTGCTATGAGATAAGTGCTATATATCAAGAGTTTAAATTGCACTAATTTTCATATAAATATAATAAATTTTAAGCCTATTTTGATATAATTATTATTGAGATATCTTGGCATAACTTTTTTTTCTTTTCCTTTTGTTGTTATAAAATTCAGGTTATTAGAGGAAGAAATATGACTGTTTTAGACAAGAACGTTAGCCTGAAAAATCAAATAAATGAAGTAAGGATATAACCTAATTTCTTACGTGATAATTGAGGAAGGGAAAAACCAAAAATCTCTATCATATTGAAATGATTTCTACGAATAATTATTTTAAATTAAGAAAATGCATGCATATCTAAATTTAAAGAAGACATCAATGTAAAGCCAATGAGGTAAAGATGACAACACTACTAAGGGTAATCATAATACATGTCAATTTTGAGTGAGTTGTGCTCAACACAAAATCTAAATTAAAAATAAAACCTTGACTTGAATTTGTTTTAATATAAAATTATTTTGAGAAAAAGTTGATCTTGGCTTAAAATCATTTTCAGCTTACTCATTTTTTAATTAGATAAAATTAACAAATAATATAAATATTGTAATGCATATTATATATTATGTTATATGCACTATATATTTTATATACATATTCTAAATTACATTTTGAGTGCGAGTTATAGCAAACACAAAATCATTTTTTTGAGTGTGAAGGCAAGGCTCAAAATCTTGTCGAGTTAAATTACGAGCGAGTTTCAAATTTTGTGTTTTTAGCAACTTTAATTCTAAAGATAAATATGACACAAACAGAAGGCACTGCAAGTCTAAAAAAAAAAGATGGGTCATAGGATTTCCCTTTACTTGGAACATCATCGGGGTAGTAATAAATTTTTATATCACCTTGACAATAACTGTTCGTAGGATTTCCTCTTAATGTTGGTCTCTTGCGGGTTTAAAAAATCTTGTAGCTCCTTGAAGATATTGTCGCTAGGTGTATAAGGAAGTTTATCTGATCTCAAGCCATACATAACTCAAGTTTGGCTTACCAATCAAATGACAGGCTTGAACTAGAGCTCATTCTTATATGCTAAGTTCAAGTTCAGCTTATTTGATTAATCATGGCTTGAGCTGAAACTCAGTTCAAGATGGCAGCTCATTATCGAAGGTGTCAACAACACGGGAGGTTGCAGGAGAAGGCATTGAAGATGATGGTAGGTTGTTGGAGAAAGCATAATGATAGGATTTTGCAAGATAATGTGTGGACCGTGATGACAGGACATAGAAGAAGATATTGTAATGGAAGCCCGGTGAAGAATGCATTGATGGTGACAATACAATAGGTCAATGGAGTAGGCAACACTATGATAGCTTATCAAAAAATGTATTGACACGAATGAGATCATGAAATCATCAATGTGAATAAGAGGAGATCATGAAATCATCAATGTGAATAAGAGGAGATCATTAAAAAAAAAAAACACTTATGATTTATTTGATGAGAGAGGAACATGATTTAGGATTGACTATCAAATTTATTAGTGCAGGCTTCTAAGCCAACAAATTTTGTTAATTCAAGCTCAAAGTCAACTTGTACATCATACAAGCAATGATCTGAGCTTGAGCTTAAACGCCCAACTTGGCAAGCTGATCTCATACACTTGTTAACAATTCAACTTTGAGTTGGCCTATACTTACACCTCTAAATGTTGCCTTTTATAGTACTTGAAAGATATTGCCATAGCTCTGGCTTTAGGCTTATTTGCTCATGCAAAACTTCTATAGCATTTAATTTCTCAAATGAGAAGAATTGAGATATTTATATATTTTAAAGGGGACATTTCAATCCTTACTTATAATTATACAATAATTATACAAGAACATTTCATTAAATTAGATCATGTCATCCTTTAATTGAAAAACAAATTAGATGATCAAACCCATAAGCTTTCTCAATCACCCCACTAGGGCCATGGCTAGGTTGGGCCACTAATCAAGGGCACATGACAAGTTGTACTACCTTATTTATAAAAAAAAAATGTTAATCTACTGTTTGAATGTTGTGACTAAGACTTCATTTGATACTATTTTTTACCGCTTCTTAAAGCTGTTTTCTAATTACAAAATTAAATTTTTACTAAAAAACTATTTAAAAAAAAAAAAGAAAATCATCCCAAACAAAGCCTAAATCCTCAAAACTTGGTGACCCATCGATTCTATCATTTTGACTCAATTTTTACCGAGCACTATTTACTACCCAACCTAAATGAAGAACACCATCAAAACTTTCAATACATTTGGAATGTTTGTTAATTAGTTTCCCTCGCTCATATATTTATGTAGCCTTTGGCCCATTCTAACCTTACGCATATACAAGTTTTAATTTGGTTTCTATTTTTTTGCCTATCATAGGCTAATACACACACACACGAAGGCTTATAGATTTGGTTCATAAGAAGAGCTTTACATCTTATTGGGCTAAGGCCCCCATAGAATGAACAAAAATCTTGAGCAGCAATATTTTATTTCTTCATATTTTGTATATATATATAGACATTCTAATCCCAACACCCAAACTCAATTATTTACTATCCTTAGCACAAATCACCATTACGTAAAGATACAGATCTTCCAAGTTAATAATAATTTTACATAAAACGCAAAACATAGAGAAATTCATACACAAAATAATGATAACTCGCCATGAAACATTTCAGATCCTCCACATACGCACTTTAATCCAAATGAAGCTTCATCACTGTATATAATGGACAAAACAGAGAAAAGCAAGCCGAAGAAAGCAAGAAGCTCAATCATCATGAAAGTAAAATTCTTTCACCGGCAGTGGAAACTTGGCATGGATGTTCCTTTGGCTTCTGAATTTGCTTCCAACCCGCACGCGTCTACAGTCAAAAGAAGGCTCTGTCATGAAATCTTCTTTATCATCATTGCAAACGTGCACAATCATGTTTTCATGGCCTAAAGTTCTCTTTTTTGATCTTCCAATACAAACTTCTACTGATAATATTTGATGGGAAAGTTGGAAAAATCAAGCTTTAGATGCTTGCAGTTGTGGCATCGAGAGAGTTAGCCTGAGGCTTGAGGGATTTTAGATAGCTAATGGCCTCATCAAGCACAGCAGCTGTATCCATGGCATCACCACCGGGGATGATCCTTCGCAGAGCTTTTACTATAGTTTGAAACTGTTTGTCTCTCGATTCATCATCCAGATTGCTGCCACTGTCAACATAGTTCATGTCTGCATCATCATCAGATGGAATTTCCTGGAAGTTGGAAGCAATTGCAGAGCTTGCAGTGTCGATGAGTGATTCATCAATGGAAGAATGATTGGGGTCCAATTTCCGCCGCTTGGGAGGGATAGATACCATAACCTCTTCTTCTTTCATGTTCAGAGGGGAGTGCCCAGTACTAGCTTCTTCAGAATCAAATGAAAATTCAGAATCTGAATAAAGGAGTGCATCAATTTCTTCAGTGTCTTCATGCATTTCTTCATGTTTGTTGTTTGAATGGGAATTAGAGGCAAAAGCATAGCTAGCATTGCTTGAAGGTAGAGTAGGGTTCAGGGTCTGGAATGGATTATTTACTGAACTAAATATCAAGCTTCTTTGATCTCCAGAATGATCATAAACAAGGAACCTCTTTGCTGGAGTAGAGGCATTTAGTCTTGATGAACTGCTTGCAAGATTGAATACTTGTGAATTCAGAGGCGAAATGAACTCTGAATTCAAATTAAGGGGGCTCCCCTGAACTCCCAAACCAGGAAATGGAGTGATAGAATTACTGGTGAAGCAGCCAATGGTGGTACTGGTATAAGTCGGAAATAACAAAGAATCTGGATTAAGCTGTTGTTGCCCAACATCAGGTGGCCGAACGTTATAGCCCAAATTCAAGTAACTAAATTTCCACATCTGAAGCAGAAAACACAATCCAAAATCACCTGAATCACAAATAATTACAAAACATATTGATTCAACAAGGCAAAATATAATAGCTTCAGATTTCAACTGAATATGAATAGCTCACCAAAGAAAAAACAGTGGAAAAGCTTTCTTCGAGAGCTGATTCTCTCTAACAATAGACTGTAAACGTTCCAACTTTATTATAATTGAAATGAAAAGGGAAGGCAATCTACGTGACTGGCTTCAGGAGGTGGCGAAAGTACTCGGCCTGTCATAATAAAATCACCAGTTAAAAAAGTTCGGTTATTTGGAAGTATAAACAAACAAGATCATAAGAAGAGCAATGGAATCTGGTTTAGAATATGAAATTTAATTTCCATAAAGTACCTGGCAATCCTGTTGCGGTTGAAAGCAAGCTATAACTCTAACTATCATTATGGCACCCCCGGCAAACCCATTTTCATGCTTCAATGCTCGAAATCTTGTCTGAGTAGCTGCTTGGCACACCATAACTACTTAACTTTCCCTTCAAGTTGAACCGTTCACCAGAGAGCCGCGAGGTATTAAAGGAAGAAAGAGAAGAAAAGTGATCGAAGAGTAGTAATAATCTAGGCTGGCTGATAAAGAGAAGAGTTAGAAAAGGGAAAGAGAAGCTTTTCGAGTTCTAGAGAGGGGTTTCAGCTAGTTTCAAGAAGAAAGAAAAATAGGTCCCATAGATCGAAAGAAGTTTGAGAAAAGGTGTTGTAGAAAGAAATAAGCAGCAACGAAGGCAAGTTAAAGAATAACTCTGCAATACAAGTTAAGGGAGACCACTTTCCGGTAAACGCCAATGGAGAGGTTCAGCCACTTCATACTGCTGTCAAAATCAGGATTACAAATAACACTTCCGATTCTCACTTCCTACCCTGAAAAAAAAACCCTAGATTTTTCAGCGATCGGCAAAGCGTGCGTTCGATAGACTAAGCCCCAACAAATCGATGTACAATTTAAATTCCACAGAAACAAAAAACATAACCACCGCCAAAGCGGCATAAAAAAACCGATTTTGAGTAGAAAACATAATCAAAAGTGGCAAAATATCTATCATAAACCACAAAAAGGAATGATTTTTACAGTAATTTACAGAAAATCGTAGCTAATTACGTATTAAAACTTACAGCAAATCCTAATCCCGTCGGCGTCGAACCCTATCTTATGTCTAGAATATAGCGAAGAGATCAAACAGATTGAATGTTGTCGACAACAAGGCCACTCTTTAGCGAGGTGGAGATGGAAGGTATGAGGAGAGGATTTTATTGAACTTCGTGACGAATCTACCCTTATGTTTTGAAGAGTATTACTGAATCTTTGATGGTGGATCAAGTTTTTTTTGGAGAAATATGAAGTCCTTGAGCGGAACAATACCTGACCAGAGGAAAGTTGTTAACTTGATTTGAGTCAGATCTAAACTTGGGTGAAGTTACCTGATTTCAGGGAGTAGAGAGGTGAATCTCTCATAGCGGGAATGTAATCATGCCCGAATCTATTTGTTTCCGGTAATGCCTTTGCTATCTATTTTAACTGCACTAATGACATCTCTCTTTGTCAAGAAATTATTGTGTACGCAATTCGAACGCAGAGAATAGTTAGCATGCTGCGTATTTATTATTTATTTTGCTATATATTTTTTGATGCATTACTTTTTTCTAAGTATTTTTTTCGTATTTATTATATATTTAATGAGTATTATTTATTTATTGCTTATTTGTCACTCATTTAATGTGTATAAAAAAATACTCAACAAAATAAGCAGTAAATATGCAACATCCGAACTGTTCTCTACGTTCGGACTGCGTCATTGACTGATGTCCACCGGGTGGGTGTCAAAACGGATAAATTATTATCATGCATATTGTGCGAATAATGGACGGCATACATAGATTAATTAGAATATGTCATACTTTTTTTTTATTTCGGTGCTGGATATTGCTGGTTACCGAGTGACATTGTGTGTTCTGATTGACCTCCGAACTATCTGATTTCCGGAGAGAATAATTTCTCATCAAAATGAAACCTTTTAATCATATCCCCAGTTTAACTTAAAAATTTTAGATTCGAATTTATTTATATGAATCAAATTAGGATACAGTTTTTTTATTCTTTTATTAAACAGGTTGAGTTCTTTTATTCTTTTATATTTTGATCAAAAAAATAATCCGTTTAATTTTTTTCCTTAATTTTTTTAAAGTCGAATTTTTTTGACCAAACAAGTTTACGAGATGGGTTCGGATCATTCAAGATGCTAGGGAGTTGAGTTCGGGTTGAAGTTTTTGACCTGTCAATTTCAAGTTGATCAGATTTGAATTAGATCAATTTTGAGTCGGTCCCAAACCACACTCTCAACTAGTTTTGATAATTTGATATCCCTACATGGGGTTAGGTTACATGTCTTGTCATTTTTGCCATTTGGAAAATAAACTTTTTATTTCATATAAATAAATTTACATAGAAATTTTTATTTTATATACCCCATTTAATAAAATTAGAAAAAGTTTATTATTATTTTTTAAAATATATTTCAAAATTCCGTTCAAAATAAAATCATTTTATTTTTGAACAAATAGGTGGACACGTGACCCTTTGATCTTGCTAGCTCTGCGACCTTTCGTCTTCCTTCTGTCCTGGCCTTCATGCTCATGTTGCACTGATCATCTTATATAGAATGTTAGTAATGTTATTTATTTGATTTACTTAGGAGAAGTTGGCATGCATGAGGTGAAATAAATGTTACACTATAATTATAAAACTTTAACGTTCGTAGATATAGTGTAAAACTAGAATGATTTTAAATACGTCGGAAAATCGTTCATTACCGACGTATTTTTACGATGAAAATGTTAACTTTTCCGACGAAGTTTCAATTTTCCGGCAAATTATTTTCCGCCTATATAAGCCTCGTAGGAATTGAAAACCGTCGTTTTTTTCGGATCATCTTTGATAATGATTGATTCATCTTTAACTATGATAGATTATTGTGAAGATGCTTTAATTATAATTAAATCCTTATTTGAATAATAGGTGATCATTATTTGAAGATGTTTGAAATCATGATTGATCATATTCAGATATTCTTCAAATAATACTTCGAACTATGCATTGAACACTGCTTCGAATCATCTTCGAAGATCTTTGCTTGGAGAAACTTTAAGAAGTTATTGGTCATTCTACAAAGTTACTTATAATCATCTTATAGTCTGAAGGACATAAAGTATTTTTTTTTTAAATATTTTTTAATCTTATATTTTTATTTAATTAATCTTTAATTAAACACTTTTAAAAATTTAACTCAAAAGTAAATTCACCTCTAAATTTGATTAATATAAATAAAATTTAAATTATTATTATTATTTTAATATAAATAAAATATAATTTTAAATGAATAATTATATATTTTATTAAATGCAAAAATAGTGACTATTTTAGGGTGTGAGCAAAGAAGCTAGTCCATGAAATTAAAATTAGGATAGAAACTTGGAATATAAGCTCCCTTTCAAGAAAATTAATGGAATTAATATATATTATGATTCATAGGAAGATAAATATTCTATACATTCAGGAAACTAAATGGGTTGTAGAGAAAACTAAGGAGATTAATAGTTTAGGATATAAACTATGATATTCGGGTAGGAGTTGTACTAGAAAAGGTGTAGGTGTGATTATAGATAAGAGTTTAAAGGATAATATTATAAAAATTAACAGAATTGGATATAGAATTATAGCTTTAATGATTGTTGTTAATGCTAAGCTTGTTAATATTATAAGTGCTTATCCTCCTCAAGTAGGTTTGGATATGAATTCAAAATTTAAATTTTATAATGACTTACAAGAATTAATACAAAATATATCTCTTGAAGAAAGAGTTTTTATTGGAAGAAATTTAGATAGAAATGTTGGTAGAGAGGTAGATGATTTTAAAAGCATCCATAGTAGCCATGGGCTTGGAACGATAAATGAAGGTGGTAAGAATATATTAGATTTTTTTTTTTTAATCTTATGATTTCTTAATAGCTAATACCTTATTTAAGAAAAGAGATGAACATCTTATCACTTATAAAAATGGGTATAATAAAATGCATATTGATAATTTTCTTATAAGAAAATTAGATCGTTTAGATTGTAAAGTTATTTCGAGTAAAAACTTATGTACCCAACATCAATTATTAGTTTTGGACTTTAAGATAAATGGGCAAAAGATTAAAAAAAAAAGCAAATAGATTTTTCAGGATTAGATGGGGGGCATTTAAAGAATATCAACAAAAGTATTTTTGAAAGTAAGATTTTTGATCTTAGGATTCTGTATGTGCATGAGGATGTCATATTATGTGGGAACAAGTGGCTTGTGATATTAATAATATTATAAAAGATGTGCTTGGAGTTTTGAAGGGAAAAACTTCTGATAGTAAAAATAGTTGGTGGTGAAATCCAAATATGCAAGAAAAGATAAAAAATAAAAAATATTTGTTATAAAAATTGGTTTAAATATAAAATTTTTGATAATTGAGAAAGCTATAAAGAGGCTCATAAGGAATCTAAGAAAGTTATTTGCGATGCAAAGAGCTTAGCTTTTAATGATTTATATAATAGATTAGATACTGAAAATGGAGAAAGATATATGTATAAGTTAGCCAAATAAAGAGATAAGAAGAGTAAGGATTTAGTTCAAGTGAAGTGTAGTAAGGATGAATATCAAAAAAGTATTTTTCTTGGAAGATGATATTCAACAAAGGTGGATGAGATATTTTGCTAAATTTTTTAATTAAAAAATGTGAAAATATGATTGACTTTAGTGACTTCATCAGCCTAAATGAAAATAAAGATTTTTTTTATCGACGTATAAGTAAAGTCGAAGTTAGAGAGGCTTTAAAGAAAATGAAGTATGAAAAAGCTGTTGGAACTGATTATATTCAAATAGAGATGTGGAAATGATTAGGAGATGAAGGAATTTTTTGCTTACTAAACTTATACTATTTTGAAGAATAAAAATATGTCAGATCAGTAGATAATGATTGTGTTAATTCATATTTTTAAGAATAAAGGTGATGCACATGAGTGTGTGAATCATAGAGGAATTAAGTTAATGTGTGATACTTTAAAACTATGGGAGCGAGTTATGAAGCATAGGTTGTGGCGTGATACTAATGTTTCTCAAAATCAAATTGGATTCATGTCGAGTAGGTCTACTATGGAAGCCATACATTTATTGAGAGGTTTGATAGAGAAATATAGCTAGAATAAAGAGAATATACATATCATATTTATTGATTTAGAGAAAACATATTATAAAGTTCCAAGAGAAGTGCTATGACAAGTTCTTGAAAATAAAGGAGTTAATAATGCTTATATTCAAATAATTAAAGATATATATATATATGCATGAGCTATTACTTGTGTTCAAACACAAGGTGGTTTGACCAAGTATTTTCCTATTTCGGTTGGATTACATCAAGGATAAGCCTTAAGTCCATATCTTTTTGCTTTAGTCATGAATGTTCTCACTAGACATTTGCAAGAGGATGTACCTTGGTTTATGCTTTTTGTTGATGATATTCTTCTTATTGATAAGACTAGAGAGTGAGTTGAAGGTAAACTTGAATTATGGAGGTCAACTTTAGAGTCTAAAGGGTTTCGCTTGAGTAGATCTAAAACTGAATATATGGAGTATAATTTTAGTAGCAATAGATCTAGTGAAGGGATTGTCCTTTGGGCGATCAAGTCATTAATAAGAGTACACGTTTTAGATATCTTGGATCTATTGTTCAGAGTGATGGTGAAATTGATGGGGATATTATCAGCAGAATTCAAGTTGGATGGTTGAAGTGGAGGAATGCATCAGGCTTATTGTACAATAAAAAATTCTCCCTCAAACTTAAGGGAAAAATCTATAAGATGGTGGTGAGACTTGTAATTCTTTATGGTGTCGAATGTTGTTCATTAATAGAGAAGCATAATACTAAGTTAAGTGTTGCAGAGATGAGGATGCTTAGGTGGATTAGTGGCTTGACCCTTAGAGATAGGATATGAAATGAGCATATACGTGAAAAGGTTGGAGTAGCTCCTGTGGAAGATAAGATTAGAGAGAGTTGCCTTAGATGGTTTGGTCACATTAAACGAAGGCCTTCTAATGACTCAGTTAGGAAAATTGAGGTATTAGATTTGACATATATTAAGAAAGGTAGAGGTAGACCTAAAAAGACTTGGTTAGAAAATATTAGAAATGATATTTCTTTATTAGATTTAAATGAGAATTTGACTTTTAACCAGACACAATGGAGAAA